TGAAATCAACAAAATCAACCATTACATTTCAATCAATTAAACAAGCACAAATAAGAATTATGTTAACATCAATTAAACAAATCAACTTTTACAAATCACCTTTTACAAATCAATTAACCAATCAAAAAATAAGCAATAATTATTAGAGAAAATAACACTTCTACTATTGAATCAACTTTTGCAGTCATACATCATTTTCACGCAGCTCACTTCTGAGATTAACCTGCATAAACCAAACATTTGCTCAAACAACACTTTCTACACATCTAAAACCTACAAACAGCAAATTATTGAATTCTAGGTACTTAACCAAACATTTCAAACCACAAGCCTATAAACATACCAATTGTTTATGGACATTTTTATAACACAGATGCAGGTAGGCAGCGTCTCGTATATACGATCTAGCCATATATGTCGAAACCACAAGCCTACTGCAGCTCTATCTATATCGGTGGGAGGTAGATACTTTATACTTCCTGTGATCAAACGGTCCAATGCCAAGCATACGTGAGGACCACAATCCCCTTTGGGTCCTTTCGTTTGTTGTGGTGCGGTCTCGTCTCTGCTAACTGTAATATTGAGCTTCTTTGGCTTCTTGTTTCCAGAACGAGTCCAATAATTTATCGCATCCAAGAATTTAGCCAAATAAGAGCTCCATCCCTTAATAATATCTCTTAAATCAGCCAATGATATGTAATTTATCATGCTGTCATATACTATTGCCTTAAGGGATGGGATCTGAAGCTCGACGAGAAGCCAATGGTTACGTTCCAAAACAGTGATAAACACCTGCAATCATAAGTAATAATTCATTCATTTGCGCACTTATTTATGAATACCTTTAAACTCAATATAAAATAACACTAACCTTATCGACCTCCCACCATGCAGGATAAAGTTTAGCTTGTCCATTGCCCAACACAAATGATTCATCTCGTTGATTCTTCAAGTGAACGGTGTATTTCTTTTATTTTCCTTAAGTTTCCTAATTATTAGAAGACGTGACACCCACGCATCGATATGCTGTTTTACAAAAAAAGACATATATTAGTAACTTACATAAATTTACAAAAAAATAATCAAATTAAAATATAAGAAAAATATAAGACTTACCCCTCCATCGAAATAGCCATTGTCTTCGACCCCTAATAATACGCCCCACCAAGACCGATCAAGCAACAAATAGATATCATCATTGAGCTTGCATATGTCAGTGAAACACCCCTGGCTTCGCTCATGTAGATAAAAATCAACTGCGGTCTTAGCCCAAAGGGTGTTATCCAGAATTGTGTCTGGTAGTTGTTTCCTCTCCACTTCAGATACCGGTATGGTACTGGCCGATAACTCATACGAGAGCCAACTTGAATCCATCATGTCCGGCACGTCAGAGGGTTTCTCAAGAATCCTACATATGACGCCATGTGAATCGGGCTCTTGAATGGTGGGAGGGACCTCTTCAACGATGACAGTGGCCTCTTGAACGGTGGGATGGGACTCTCGAGGAATGATAGGGGCCTCTTCAACGATAGGAGTGGACTCTTGAGGGATGATAGGCGAGTCGGGCTTCTTATTGCGGTGTCTTCGCACTATTGGGGTGTTCGGAGACTTAATAGCAAGTGCACGCCGTCTGATGCGTGAACTCTGTCGTGCAATAAAAACCCGACGTAAAGCATCCACCTTATCGGTCCGCTAAATAATTAAATACAAATATCAGTAAATAAACAGACATGATATTTAACAGTGAAAACAAAGACAAATATGTTTCAAACTTGCATTGAATTCACCCAAGTCATTATTCTATCATAGTTCAAATTTGCAGAAGAAGAATAGTTTCAATTGGCAGCAAACGAACAAATTTACTTTCAACCAAAAGACAAAACAAAGACAAATACTAACTTCACAGTGTTAAAGAATACACAGTTTAGCAGAATTGGCAGGAACCGAAAAAAATTTACTTTCAACCAAAAGACAAATAAAAGACAAATACTAACTTCACAGTGATAAAGAACACACAGTTTAGCAGAATTGGGCAGCAACCGAATAAATTTACTAAGCAATCTAAGTGAAATGGTTAATCTAAGTGAAATTACGAGTAAATTTATCATCAAGTTAAATATGGAAAATCTTAAACTTACCTCGTTGCGTAGAGTATGAACCTCATTCTGCAACGATACTACCATCTCACGTAGAGCGGCAACCTCACCACGTAAAGTAGACACCTCCACACGCCATGCACCATCGTTATCGCGTAGAGTACCGATCTCCTCACGCAAGGCATTGACCTCATCACGTAACTCCCTTGACTCATCCCGTGGAGGTGGAGAACAGGGAGATAGAAGTCGTGGCATCTTTTTCGGTCGCCTATCATGAGGTGATGGTGGAGAAGAGACTCAATGATGTGATGGGATAGGTGATGGCTCTCGTTGTAGAGGTGTATAGTCGGGTCGATCAGGTGATGGCTCTGGGTGAGGTGATGGCTCTCGAAGTGGAGGAAGTGGAGGCTGCTCATCATTCGTGCCATCAAAAAACGCTGACTAGCTTGCCACCAATCAGTGGCAAGCTCAGCCTCCGTGGGTGTCAGTCTCATTAATAGAGTGTTGGCCTCCTAAAAATATAAAAACTAAAACAAAGTTAAACGTCTACTATTAATAACTTGTTTATATATGATAGTATTTGTGTTAACTTACATTATTTATTGTCGCATATGGTATTAAGTCTTCCCAATCCAACATACGTTTTCTCTTCCAGGAAATAGCCCTAGGAATATCATCTGAGGATTTTAATGCATATGTCCGCATGCTGGGGAAAGCCTCGAATATCCAAATCTACAAACAATATAATAACAAACATTAGTAATTGTTAAATAATTAATTATAATTTTGAAAACATTATATAGAAATTCTTACCTTAAAGGCCCAAACAAAGCCTGACAAAGTGTATTTTGACCCATCGCCCCGCAAACTTTTGCGGTCATCAAAGGCAGACGACAACTTAGTCCAGGTAGCTTTCCATATATACGAACCCCACGGAAACAGATTCCATGCATTTATGTCCTCTACCAATAATATTAGCTCCTGAGGAATAGGTTGTCTGGCCTCTATACCTAAAAAGCCGGCATACAAAAGTAGTAGAAGGCATACTCGGACAACATCGACGTCATTCATCCGAGTAAAACCATCTTTCTTATTAAACAATTTCTTCATGTCGTCGACGTGTAAGTTCGGCTTCTCTATTGACTCATCAGGAAAAACCCTGGATAACCATGATGGGCGGGTGATATGACGAGTGTACCGGCCTACATAATCGTGTCCGAATCGTAGACCAGTGATTAAGCAGAACTCCTTCCGCCCAAAACAAGTATACGCCGGTGGAAAATGAAACCATATCTCTTCCTCACCACGTTATATACTGTCGGGTAGCTCGCTAGTCATGGTCTGAAGCCACAAATGGGTCAAATTAGCATCTCCACCCGAATGCTGTACTCTCAGCCATGGCCCGAAGTAGGTTTCTTCAAACAATTTTCTTTGTGCAGGTGAAAGCTTCGAAGCAATTGTAGTGGCTAGGCTAACTTTATTCCTTAATGTCAATGAAGCCGAAAAAAATTTCTACAAAAACAATAAACATACCAAGTTAGATATACCAAAAACTACACTGTCAAGATATACCAAAAACAATAAACATAAATAGTAGTTTATTCTTGAAACTAAAATTTGCAACACTGTTTTGTCTTTTGGTTGAAATGAAAATCGCAACGAGATAATGAGAATCGCAACGCGGAAATGACTATCGCAACGAGAGAATCGCAACGCGAAATGACTATCGCGACGAGAGAATCGCAACGCGAAATGAAAATCGTAACGCGAAATGAAAATCGCAATGCGATTTTGGTTTCGCGTTGCGTTTTTTATTTCGCGTTGCGATTCTCTCGTTGCGATAGTTATTTCCGCGTTGCGATTTTCATTCTCGAAACTATTCTTCTTCTGCATTACTTCAACCAAAAGACAAAACAAAGACAAATACTAACTTCACATGCTAAACAGTTTAGCAGTATTGGCAGTAATCGAATGAATTTAATAAGAAATCTAAGTGAAATGGTTAATCTATTATTGAAATTACCAGTAAACTTATCATCAATCTCAATATGAAAAACCTAAAATAATGCAAAAATTTCAAAATAAAAATAAAAAAAACTAACCCTCGGAGGTTGATTTTTCATTTCTGAATGATTGTGAGGGATTTTTGACTGTGAATGGTTGTGAGGGATTTCGCCGGCAATGGGGACGGAAATCTTCGGAGATGGGGACGGATTTTGCCGTAGAGAGTGAGAGATGGAGATGTGATTGAGTGTTGTGATTTTGGGTTTGAGGTTATGAGTTGCGATTACTGTGGACGGTTCAGTTTCCGATTTATTAAGAAAAAATTCGTGTTTGGAATTTGAAAAAATAATACGCGTTAATACGAATGGCGCTATGTAAATCGCGTTGCGAAAGTCAAAATCGCGTTGCGAAAGTCAGTATCTCGTTGCGATTTTGTATTATCGCATTGCGATAGTAAGTATCGCATTGCGATTTTCCCAATTCGCGTTGCGATTTACTTATTCGCATTGCGAATTGGGAAAATCGCAACGACATTGTAGACCATCACAACTCGATTTTCAACTATCGCAACGCGAAATGTAACGCGAATTTGCGATAATGGAGATCGCGTTGCGAATTAGCGATCGCATTGCGATTTTGTTGGTCATTTTGGCAAATCCGGAAAAAATTAATTAAAATCGTATATTATAAGGCATTTTTAGTCACTGATACGATTTTCTCTAATTTTAATGTTACTCCACGTTAACTTAAAGAGTAATAAATAAGGTTTTTGCTTTTAGGAAAGAAATCATTATTTAAGGAGGAAAAAAAAAGGATCAAGAAAGAACAGCAAATCTCTTTATTGAAATGCACGCTCGATTAATGAGAGTGTGGTTTGTAGCCATCTGAAAAGATGACCAGCGTGTAGTGTTTATGTTGGTTAATTGTCTCTTCCATCATCCCTCTCACTTCTTTATCATGCTTAAGCTTTCTTAAACCTCTGATCATCATCAACAACAACAGGTATGTAAAAAAAATCATAAGCTTTTATGAAGTTTCAATTTTTGTTTCAGTTTTCCTTCTTTTTCCATGCAAATTCAGTGATACCCAGTTCTCCTTTTTAGCTTATTTGATCAGTTTTAATAAGTTGGTGCACCTCTTTTATTGTCTGGGTTTTCAATAAATTCAAGAAGTATTCTTAATCATTAGTTCCACGCTTCTTGATATTGGAAATTGAGGGCCTTTAATTGATATTTGGTAGACAAAGTTTGCTTCTTTTACTCATTAATGAGCCCCCGGCCCAATTGTTGATACAAGCCATGATAATTTCTTTTATTCTTATATATATTAGTTGAACCCTCTTTTGCACTTTAGCCAAAAGTTTGATAATATTGCTTCAAGCTTACAATATTTGACTTGCTTACATTGAAAGCCAATGTATAATTTTCATTTGGGAGGATTATATGGGCTATGGCTGTCCCCAAAGCTCATCCCTTTTATTACTTTTGACTTCAAACTGAGATTCATTGTGCTGCATTTAAGCAGATCTCGGAGTAGATCAAGGCACCTTGCTTGGGGTTACAGATTTGTTTTATTCCACTTGGTAAAATAGCTTTGGCATTTTAAAATTGAGAAGTTGAATGTGTTACTGTTTAATTAAGGCCAATCGATGCCAGAAAATCAGCAACATTGTTAGTATTTTTTTCATTTGATTTTAGAAGATTCCATGAATTTTCGGGTTTCATTGCGTACCTATCCCATGATCGATGAGAGCTACGTAGTTGGGACCACTGTGGACTATTTTTCTCTGAACCATACATAAGAATGAAAGAATCACTGCCCCAAGATGATAATCCCTATATTATCTCTTTCTGAAATTTCCTTTAGCCATCTCTCTAAAAGAAGTGTCTTTTTCCTCGGAACGGCAGTGGTTTCGGCATTATAAAACTTTTGAATGAACAAAGATGATTTCTGCATTATCAAGCTACCTTTTATGTTTGCTTCTAAAACTTTATTTAAATACCTTTGAATAGGTTCGTCTTGGCTTGCTCTATCTCAGTTCAAGAAAATGTACCCTGGAGGTTACACTGCTGAAATTACAAGCTTATCTCCAAAAGTTCCCGAGAAGGATCTCCGTGACTTTTTCGCATACTGTGGTGCAATTGAACATGTCGAAATTATCGGGTAATATTTCGCTACTCTATTTGTGATCATCTGAATAAATATTAGAAATCACTCTCGATAATGGTGTATTTTCATGATTTTGTGCATAATTATTGTGCGTTTGCAAATCTGTTGGGACTTATCGTTCACTGGTTATTCGAGAGAAAAAGGAAAGACTCAAAAGATACAAAGTTTTTTGTCTGAAATGATTTCTTGTTGGATAATTGGTATTCTTGATATTGGTTTTTGTGGAAAAACAATGTTTTTTTAGTATAATTTCTTCATGTGATGATTCCCATAATTTGTGACAGGTTTCTTGAATCAAGGAAGTTTTTATGATCAAGTTGTTTAATTTTACTTATTGTTTGTCAACTCTTTTAGGAAAAAGTCAAAAGTGATTCTTCTTTTGTCTGAAATGCTTTCTTGTTTGATACTTGGTATTTCCGATTTCATTAACAGAATCTAGACAGTTGATATGATTCGATATCCAGTACAATTTACTGCAAGTTCGACATATTTCTTGTCTGAAATTTACTGGTTCTTTGGGGGGAGAAAAAAGTGAAAAGCCTCAAAGTCTTTTGTCTGAAATGATCTCTTGTTGGTTCATATATTACCTGCTCGGATACATTAATATAATTCCATATTTGTTGAGCTAATGAGTGTTTACAATAATCGAGATGTTTAACTTTACGATAGGGAATCAAATCAGGCCATAGCTGTTAGCATGTAGATGCTCCTGCATCACCTTGTCTTTTCTTTCAGTTTACGTAACCTTATTTCTTAGTACGCCTTAGTATAGTGATGTGATTAGCTGATGAAGATTAGCTTGTTCTTGATCGTTCTTTTAAACCTGACGTTCATGATTTCGTTGATTCTGTTACTAAGAAATTTGTGCTGTAATGATGGGAGCTGCTTTCTTAACCAGATGCGGGGAATATGCTTGTACGGCTTACGTGACATTTAAAGATCCCTATGCACTGGAAACTGCCGTCTTACTCAGTGTAAGCTCTGATTCGTACTTCGACAGAGGGAAATAAGCTAAATTCCTTTCCTAAAAGAAAAAAATAATTGTTTTCTTTTAGCTACCTGGATGGTTCTTACACTGAATCTTTGTTTTGATTTCGAATGCCACCATAACGTCATGTGTGCATCAAGATGTATTAATATGGTATGAGTATCAGCTTATGTAACCTAAAAAAGTAGGTTTCCATGTAAGGCCACAACTAATTTTCCATTAGTCTAACTTGACTTTAGCATACCACAGAGAAAAGCTTACAATATCAGCATCTAATGTCTGTAAAAGTTTAGAACTTTGTTCGTGTGTCCTTGTCTATTTAAGGAAACTTCGTATGAGATCTGGCACATCGGCTTCACGTGACTTAGCCTAGAAGGTGAAAACTGGCATCACTCGATCCAAAAGAACAAAGAAAAGTTGGTCAATTTAAACTCTGTAATTCTTGGAAGGCTTCTCTTTGAAATTGTATGACTGGTAAGATACACGGTTTAGGAACTTGTATTAGAAAATAAGTTCTTGGATGTTAATAAAATTGCTCAAGTACCTCCAAACATCTTTCTTATGGAAAAAGCTCTCGTCCGTCTAGTTTCCTGAAATACGGATGACTTTTCGAGTGGCTGAATTGATTTCTTGATGAGTTTATTATGAAGACTTTATGGAAATGAGGCTGGCTCATTCTGTGAAATAGACCATAATTTAAGATAGACTCTTAATCTCGATCTTTAGTGCCAAATTTTTCATAGCTATTATTTATCTCATTGCTGCCAGATTTTTTGTGTCAGGGAGCTACAATTGTTGATCAGTCTGTATGCATATCAAGGTGGGGTTCCTACGACGGTGATTCATATCCTTGGGATGGTTCTTCATGGAAAACTCAAGAGGATACTAGCTCAACGGTATGTTTCGATTTCTTTAATAAGAAGAGCAGGTTGATTGCTTGGTTTTACTAGCCCATAAGCAATTGTCACTGATCAAACTCTCAGCAAGGGATTCGAACTTGACTGTGTGACTTTGACGTCCTTCTTGGTTGCGTTTAGATCTTCCTTGGTATATCCTAATTTTTTGGACATTAATATATCCGGAAACTAAATTTTAAGATTGAGGGATACATGATACGAGCTAATATAAATGTCGAAGACAGGAATAAATAGTAATTTCCGTAAGATCATTTCAATTCCGAGTCTACTATCTTAATCTGCTTCTAGAGTCATGATGGTTATATCATTCAAGATGAATATTGCATGTTTGGCATGCTGAAGAAATCAGGATCTATCCTCGAGTTTAGGATCATTGAGGTCTCTGCAGTAGTCTTGTTTGTTGTTTTGCACGATTCGTTTTAGTTTTTCTGGTCAGGGTGATGAGCAACATGGGGCATGAAAACGTTTTTGCTTTAAGTCGATTATTTTGTATAAAAAAGAACACAGTATCAATATTTGCAGTTTGAGTCGCCTAGTATCTTTGCAGGTTACCTCTATGCAACCGTTTGTTTCTTCTCCCGGAGAAGCGGTGACTGTTGTCAAAACAATGCTAGCCAAAGGGTATGTTTTGGGAAAAGATGCCCTTGTCAAGGCCAAAGACTTGGATGAGTCATATCGAGTGTCTGCTACCGCAGCAGCCAAAGTTGCTGAGCTTAGCAATAGAATTGGCCTCACTGATAAGATCAACACTAGCATGGAAACTGTAAAATCAGTGGATGAGAAGTATCATGTTTCGGACATCACCAAATCCGTTGCATCGGTTACCGGGACTGCAGTGATAACAGCTGCAAGTTTCACGGGGAGAACCACGGTAGCAGCAGGCAATGCCATTGCCAATAGCAGCTATTTTGCCAAGGGAGCACTCTGGGTTTCCGGCATGTTGAACCGCGCAGCTCATGCGGCCGCTGATTTGGGCAGCCATGGAAATAAACAAACACCGAGCTAAGTTTCGTAGAACACCCGTTTTACTGGTCTTTACCCATCCTTTGCTTTGTCTAAAAAATAACCGATACTCGTATTTGTTACGGACCGTATATGCTTGTGTACAATGGCAATAACTTGAAAGTTGAGTAAATGTGGGATTTATCCATGTCCAACTTGATGAATCCAAATTGATTGAAATGCATGCTAAAAAAAGAAGGTATCCCGAGCTCAAGAGATTGAAGCTCAAAACCAGCTCTGCTTTGTTGTATGCAATTAATCACCGGTGGATGGGCTAGTGTTTAGTTATTATCAAGTTTTGGCCTCAACTTTCTTATTTCACAAAACCAAATTCTGCACTTTAAGGGAAAAACCATTACACAAATTATCTGATTTGTCTCTTATTGGGGTTTTTTTTTTCCAATTTGACTCATTATTATTTAAAATTTATTGTTGATAAAACTATGAAAAAAACTATATTTTTAAGATTATAGTTTTGAAATATATGTTTTATAAAATTTTTTAATTTTTAAAAATATTTAAAATAATCATAATCAAAGTTTAAAAATTTTGACTTTTAAAAAATCATTAAAAGACAAATTTGATGAAGGTAGTCATTTTTTATTTCAATTCATTATTTTCATTATCTATTTTTAGTGTCATTAGAAATTGTCGTTTTCTGATATATTTTGCAACTTCCTTTGAAATCAATGAACTCATTTTGTTATCTTCTATCACTTTATCAGTTTAAATTTCAAAACTCATAACATTAAACATAAAAATTATCATTTTTGGGTTTAAGGATTTTCTTAAATTTAAGGGCTTTGGAGTGTTTGCTCAAAAATTTGAACCGCAAAAAATATTATTTCAAGAAAACAAACAATATACCTAAAAACTACTTCATCAAATGATCATTGTAGGACATTGAAGTATTATCATGTCGGGCCTTTAAATGTATTTCTATCATTTTTGAGTTTTTAAAAAAAAATAATTTTAGAAGAATAAAGAGGAGTGATATAGACGTTTAAGTACTAGTCTTACTGCAATTAGTGATAAATGACTGATGACGATTGACCGTCATTGACAACCAAAAAACTCTAGTGCCTAAAATTGAAACGTTTTAAAGTTTAGTACAAAATCTGAAGATATTCATTTTTTTCATTTTAATGTTATTTATATTATTATTATTATTATAATAATTATTATTATAATTATAATAATAATAATTATTATTATTATTAATATATATTATTTAATATTACAAGCCCAAAATGGAGGCCCAATTACAAACAGTGGCCCGGATCCAAAATCCCACAGTAAACCCTAAACCCAATTTAGGGTTTGTATCATCCAGCTGCCGCCGCTCAGTTTCAGCCGTTGGATCTGGTTTGATCCAACGGTCCACAGTTTGCCAGAGGAAACCCTAGGGTATCAATACCCTAGGGACACGTCCCAGCGCCGCCGTAGATTCCAGAAGACCACGCGGCGCTGCTTCAGTCTCGCCGCCACTCCAGCCGCACACGTCTTTCCCAAATGGTGAGTCACCACTGGAAGTCCGGTGACTCACCGAAGAACCCCTTTCGGACCGGTTTGAGACGAGCACCGATAGCCATCACCCAACCTGCAAAGAAAAAGGGACCGAGAGAGAAACAGAGAAACAAGATACTAAAAAACTACCAACGATCTCAGTCAACAACAATGCAGCAAAGAAACAGAAAAGAAAAAAGAAAGAAAAGAAAAAGAAAGAAGAGAAGCTTACCGAGGAAGCCACGACCACCGGACCTCACCAAAACCTTCGAAAAACCGAAGGTATATTTCTTAGATTTGCTCCGATCGGGAGCCTTTTAAAAGAAAAAGCCATTGGAACCGTCATTAGGACGGTCCGATCTATGTTTTAGTATAAAAATTTTTTTTCCGGCCACCGAAGGCGGTGGCCGGCGGCGATGGCTGACGGCGGAAGAACACCGGCGGACGGCTGCCGGCCGTCTGGCTTCTCTCTATTTTAGAGAGAAGCGAGAGAGAAATTGCTCTCTCAGAGAAGAGAGAGAGAGGAGAAATAGAGAAATGAAGGCTGGCCCGAAGTTTCAAACGTTAAATAGGCCTTCCCGAACGACGTCGTTTCGGGAAGGACTATTTGTGCAAATTTAAATTGTTAAATCCCGTCCGCAACCATTATAACTTGTAACTTTTACATTTTAGTCACTAAATCGAGTTTATAATCCTTTTAATTCGGTTCTTTAATTTCATTTTTATTTGTTTTAGTCCTTTATATTAAAATAATATATATAGGATAAAGAACAGATTTAGTCCTATAATTTTAATAATTAATATTTTAATCTGAATAATATGTTTTAATTTATTTTAATCTAATATCCGAATTTTATATAGTTTTATTTTAGTCACTAAATTAATAAAATAAAAAAATAGTATGTTTAATCCCTATAATTTTGATTAATTATGAATTAGGTTTTTAATCTTAATTTTACTATATTTTAGTCACTAATTTTAAATGTTTTCATTTATTTTACTGCTTTTAAATATATCGTTCTAATTGTATTTTTATTGTTTTATTTATTTATATTTAAATACTTTTATTATTATTATAGTCATAAATATATATAATAAATAATAATTTATATATATTTTTAATAAATTATTTTAATATTTATTTTTCAATATCGAAGAAAAGGGCAGTCTTAATACAACTGGATGTCCTATTCTGGTATTTTAAAATTAAATATTATAAAAAATATTATTTAATTAATATTTATTAATATCAAAGAAAAGAACTGTCTTAAGACACCTAGAAGTCCTTTTCCGATATTTTTAAATAAATAAATATTTTTTTATATAATTTTGAAATAATAGGATTATAAATTAAATATTTTTTGAATATTTTTTTCTTTGAATTTTTAATAATAGAGACAATTTATAATTAAAAAGTACTAATTTTGGGCGTTGTAGGGGTGCTAATCCTTCCCTAAACGTAACCGACCACGAATCTTTTTTTATTATTAAAAAGAACGAATTTTTGGTTATAAACGTAGATCAGTTCATTTTTTTTAATTGATGTTTTCTTAAAACTCTTTTAAAATAATTTTTAGGTATTCGACCTACCTGACCCAAAAGGCCGATGGCGACTCCCAAATTATTTTCAAAAACTATTTATTCACATCAATTTTTCCGCCAAATAAATATTTCGTGCCCGGACGAAAACCGGTTACAACAGCTTGGCGACTCCGCTGGGGACCTGGTCAAACTTTAAAATCAATTATAAATTGTCTCTATTAATTAAAAATTAAAAGTTCATATATTTAATTTTTAATTCTTTCTTTTCAAAATTTTTATATTTACTTATTATTTTCATAATATTTATATGTTTCATTTTACTTGTAAGTATTTTATTTCGTTATTTATTTTTCTGTCAAAGGTTTGAACATTTCTCCTCACACACAACACTTGCATTGCATAATATAAGCTCTATAATTGAGTTTGTCCCTTTTAAGTGGGAGTGAAAGCGACGTCTTCGTGAGAATTTATTCTCCGTGTCAGACCTAGCAAGTAACTTTTGGGGTTCATATGCTCTATGTCTTCGTGAGAATTTATTCTCCGTGTTAGTCATAGAGAAATGTATCCCCTCGAATTGAACTCGGTCCGTTTAAGTCTGTAATGGACTAGGATTGAGGGTTTGATAGCCCAAGGGGGCATCAACAAGGACAGTTCGAGTACCTTTACTCCTAGAACTGAAAACCTGCATATAATAAACCCTAGAAACTCTCTCGATCTGAAGTCATGCCGAAATTTTGTCCAAAATAGGTGTACACACAGGAGAAATGAATTCTAACTTTCCTGTTAATTTATTTATTTTCTTTACTGATTAAATTACATGTATATTTAAATTATTTAAATTTAGAAAAAGCATGTTAAATAAAAATATTTAGGTAAATGTTATTATTAAATTTCTTTATTATGTAATTCATTTCTTTTTGTGTGTTCTTTATTTTTTCTGTTTGCATAGCATCATACAGGATAAAAGGCATTGATCCTTGTGTTAATTGTCTCATTGGAAAGCCTTCATCCATGGATAAAAAGTGTTCAAATCAAGTAATTCTAAACTCAGAAGTAAGACAGTGGGCTGAGGACTTACAAAGACAAGAAGGAGACAGTCTACAGGATGATTATGTATCTGACTTGGCCAGTTATGCTTCAGTTTCGCTAAAAAGAAATGATATGCAGGATTTGCGAAGTATTTGGGAAAGTTGGGATTCAAACAAAAAATTGCAGTTTTATCAGACTTACGGAGACATCCCATATTTGCTCTATGTTGAAGTTGATGATGAATTACTCAGAGCCCTAATTCAATTATGGAATCCAGGGTACAATTGCTTCACTCTCAATAAAGAGGACTTGGTCCCTACTATTGAAGAGTACACAACTTTGTTACATATCGAAGGGGCTTTGGAGAATCGAATCTATTCAAAGTCAATTAAAACTCAACCCTTTCGAGTTAAATTAGCAAAGATTGCCGGGGTACGAGAAGAATGGGTGGCATCCCGTACAAAACAAAAAGGCGAAAGCGAAGGCATTGCTTGGACCAACATTAAAGAACTTATTCAGAGCCATCCAGATATTAAAGTACGATTCGATTTATTTGCTCTGGGTATGTATGGTATGGTCATCTTCCCAAAAATATTGGGATATGTTGAAGCTGCAGTGGTAGATTTGTTTGAACAGCTACCGAAAAAGATTAATCCTGCTTCTGCAATTCTAGCAGAGACCTTCAGATCGTTAAATGCTTGTAGAAAGCTAGGAGGTGGACGATTCTCAGGGTGTACCCAGTTGTTATATGTTTGGATCCGTAGTCATTTCTGGAGGACAGAAAAAGTTTCATACCGACGCTTTAATACGGATTACTCACCATTAAAAGAATTTCTGGAGCAGGAATGGCCGAAAGAAATTAAGAAAGATATGTGGATTAATGCCTTTCGAAATCTGCAAAACAATGACATTGTTTGGCGAGCCCCGTGGCAAATCCAAAGGGAATTCTTTTACAA